CTTGTCTGGATGGGGAGGGACAGGATCCGTGGTCCTATGAAAGTACTATCTACCTGATTTCAAAAGATGTCGCAAGTAAAGACAGCAACTTCAGGCCAATAACTGGAAAGTCGAACCCTTACAAGTTAAAAACGAAATGTGTGGCACGCGTCATGCAGTTAGATGTTGCCAAGCTGCTTGCAGACAATCAATTAAGAACTGTTACCCAGGTTCAAGGTGCAAAGGAACAAATAATGTTGAACCTCGCGATTTGCAAAGAACACGAAAACCAGCTTTACACTACGTGGTATGACATAAAAAGCGTTCGATTCACTAATCATGAATACCTGACTGAGTGCATTGAAAGGCTTAACATGACATCATAGATCTGCAGGTTTCTGAGAACCATAACATGCAAATGAGTAGTCGTACTAAAAAACTTAATACATGACATAGAAAAAAATAGAACGAGTAATTTTCCAAGATAATAGCCTTCCTCTTCTGCTAATCGTCTTGTGCATGGACACGTTATGTGATAAGCTCAATATAAGATACCCAAGAAAAGTAGCAATTTTTACCGATCAAGGAATGCACGTGATAAACCACTGAGTGGATGATCTCGAGCTCTTGCTACTGACGAAAATATGATGAAAATTATAGCTGAAGAAGTCTAGAGATTTTTTAAATAGTGAGGTTAAAGTTGAGTTTAACAAAGAGCCACTAATACTGAGGTATGTGCTGATAAGGAGGTGCTCTTGGAAAGAGCTCAAGGGTTTAAATACCTTAGTATAATGGAGGACAAGATTAGCGCTCCGACACGAGAAAGCTACGATAAACTGCGAGCAGAGATTTTGGCACGAATTGACGACAAGAACTTTATTTATGGCAGTAAATGAGCATGCTAATAAACTATTATACCGAGTGCTGAAACTGGAACCAGATTGATTGATTATATATGAAGATACTACGGATGAAAGTAATACCTGCAAAGTTTTCAAAATTCCCTTCTCAAATTGAATAAATGCGCTGTCTCCCATCCGAGGTTTCGTAAGATGTATTTGAAGATTGGGATAATGAACTTTGAGGGATTGCAACCATAAATTCCTATTGGATGTCGAACTATTTCCTAATTCTTGTTTTGGTTGTTCTAAACCAAACTTCCAATCTTTAATTTCGTCCTTCTTTGCTTCAAACTCTTCGTGACAGTTTCTATTTTGATTTTGGTCCATTTCATTTTGTTCGACTTCTTCAACCAAAACCTAGAGCAGTTGTCAATAATTTCATTTTGAAAAATGAGAAATTACTTATATTTATTGCCATTCAAATATGAAACCAACCGATTTGAAATAAAATTCTGGTATATAAGACTCAGAATAATCTTCTATCTGACGTACAATAAAATCTGCCTGAAAATTATATTATTTATAGTGCCTTACTTCAGAAATTATTAAGTATTACATATTTCGTAAACAGCAGAGTGTTATATTCTAGTAATCGAACTAACAAAAAACGATCAATAGTAATTGCAATGTAAAAAATAAGTTGAACTTTCTGAATATAATCTTTAAAGATATTGAGATCGATAACCAACTGAATGCAAGTGAACAAAGAGACAAAACCTTTTCATCCACGGTTTCGAATGTTGGATTATCAATAATCCGATATAAAATATCAGGCAACCCAAGAGACGTATTGCCGAAATCCGAAGGCATTTCTGTTTTTCTTTCCTCAATAATATTGATGCAGCTAGCATACAGAACAGTCCATAAATTGAATAGCTTAAAACTGAATTAATTAGCAGTAAAATTAGTGTTGAACCTCATTAATATATGAGAACAGCGTGATAACTTTATTTAAATAATGCAGTTATATCAAAAAATAACAAGAGCTAAGTCACCTAGTTAACAGAAAATTAAGAATTTCATCTGTTCTGACTTCTAATTTGTTATGTTCTATAGAATTTAATGTGAAATCAAGGAAATTACAGAGAAATTAAAACACATCATTTGAGATTGCAGACAACCAAGCAAAATTAAAGTGTTTTCTTCTCTCACCGCTTTAAATCTATGAAAAAGTGGTAGCTTCATTCCTTTTGGAAGCGCTTTAGCATAAAATGATAAAATCCTGAGCGATTTATCTAACATCAAATTGAAACAATTTGCTTTCTTTGGTGGGTATATTGAATAACAATCATTTTTTAGATTCTGAAATATAAAGAAAATTTCGTATTTACTTAGACTTCACACAAGAATTTTTATGAATATAGCAAAAAACTGATGCTCACTGAAATCATTTAATCAAAATTATATAAGAACAAATGAAATCCAATAAGCAATCAGCAAAAAAAGGGACATCGAATGTCTCGAGATCTTTATATTCGTTTTCCGTTCTCTTGAAAAGCTTATTTCTAACTGAGAATGCAGACTGAGATCCAGATTTACCAAATTACATGGGACACTCTCCACTGAAAGATTGTTAAACTAGAAGCAACTATTGAAAATTTCCACAAAAACGTACCTCCCATGGCAGTAATAACGCATCAAATATATTTTCGACTAAATTTTTCGGCAGTAAATCTAACACAACAGCAAAGCAAACTGCAGCATCAGCGGCATTTGGATGCTTCTGAAACCAAAAATATGTTTTTTTTCGATCCTCACTTTTCATCTTCATAAGAAATTTAAAACCAAAAACAATCAAAAAACCGTTATTTTTGTAAAAACCATCATGAATCAATCATAAAATATGTAAAGAACATATAATAAGCAAGCCTGAGACTAAAAGCGGGAGCTGCCTTTATTCTATCCCTAATGTCATGATCAATATCATTTAATTAAAAAAAGAATTTTCCAACAGAAAGCAATGTCCTGCTTAAAAAGTACTGAAACGAGAACTCTTACTAAATCCTAAAATTAGCAAAGTTATGATTTTGAAAAAAAAAAAGATATTCTAAATAGAACATAGAAAATTAGTAAACTTGTTAAATTAAGTTTAATAGGGACGATAAGATTAACCGACCTCTTAAATTAATTGAAAGTCATATGTAACTAACATCTAAATGTTCAAAAAAAGCAGGAAAAAAATACGCATAATACGAAGGCACACCTCTAAGACAACCAAAAAGTTCTGGACTAAAAACTGATAATATTTATCTTTCGACAATTTGAATGGAACTGTTACCAATATTCGTGAAAATGACTGCACAAATCCAAAATTACCAAAACAATTAGCACCTGTAAATGAATAAAGAAATCAAAATGACTAATTGTAAAACACACTTAGTGCATTAGCAGAATAATGCTCAAAGGTTGCTAAAATTGGAACGGATGACACAGACCTTCTGCTACTGCTGTTATCAAATGATACAACCCGTTTTCCAGTAATAGAAGCTTTGTGATATGTTTGCTAACAGCTTTCTAAAATGAATAAATAAAAACGCAAGGAAACCTTAAAACTGTGAATTATTTCGGTCAAATAGAAGCACACAGCTACAGTGCAAAGAAAAATTTGAATACTAAAAGCGAACAAATATATAATTTTTGAAAATAAGAAAAACTTTAATATTTACATGCAGCCATTTTGGTTGTTCTTTATTTGCAGTCAACAAAATAAACAGTGATGTGATCAACATTGGTCTGCAAAAACAAAAATTACAAAAGCAACTCGCAGAAAATGGAGAAGAATTATTCATGATTTATCAATTATATATAGTGATACGGAAATCATTATTAATCGTCATAAAAGTTCAATGTAAGTGGCAAACATTTCAGTTCAATTCAGTCCACGCTTACAAGTAGACAATTCGCTCCCTCAAAAACATGTAAAATAAATTACCTATCAAGTGTCAAAATGAACTTTTCATACTTTTCTTTGTGTTCTTTTTCACCAAGCTTGATGAGCTGCAAACAATGCTACAAAACCACTTATAATTTAGCTAATGATAAAAGAACTAACACAAGAATTATGAACAATAAAAAGAGACATGTAACATGATTATACGAAAAATTATATAAGCAATTAAAAAACTAACTTGTTCATTCAGACAGATGTATTCTGCCAAAAACTTCCGCACCAAAGAATTTTTAATCATGTCGCTTGAATTCATCAAATCATTAAAAACATCCAGTGCTTTTTTTAACTGAACAAAAATAGTAAGAAAAAATATTTGAAAATTTACTCAAATTTCTGACTTAAGCAATAAAAGAAAGTAACACAAGCATACCTGTTGTTTTCGGAACTCTACATCTCCAATAGTCGGCTTCCAATGTTTTACAAGAGTACTTTTACCCAAATGCAAAATCACACCTATGTCAAAAACTAAATTCAAATCACTGACATGCTACGTAAGCTAATTACTTGTATGATAGAATTCGACATATATATTTACTTTTATCTGGAAGAATTGTGAAAGGAAAATAGGAAAATATTAGAAAATATACCTTTATCAACATACGGTGTAACGGAAGTAGGTATAATGAACTCGAATGCCGTTTCTATGATTGTTAACTGATGAACTGACAATAAAAAATTATTAGCTGTCTTACAACTTCCTTTCAAAATTTCCACCACCTAAATGAAGAGTTGATAACTGAACACGGATATCTGATATTTCAAAACCTAGTTATCTGAAACCACAAGAGTCACTCCGAATCAAATAGAAACGATAACCTTCTTCAACAAATAGAGCATGAGGTATGAATAATAAATTCGATAATCTACATCAGCTCCTAAAGTACTTTCGACAGAGGATGATGATAAATTCGACGATGAAGTAATGAATGCGCTAGACTGCTGAGGTGGTAAATGCATTAGATTTGGCAAACTCCAATATTCAGCATTGAGAGACTCTACCCTTTTTATAATTTCACCACCATGGTGATAATTTTTTAAACAAGACAAAGGTTGCTCCTCATCTAGCCTTGAGTCAATAAAACCTCTATCGCGCATAAGACGTTCTAGATGCATCGTTTGATGCTTCAGCGGATCAAATGGTAGTCGCTTTACTTTTGGCAAACTTACAGCTGAAACATAGTCTAATAAAACTTGGAACATATTAATTAGTGACAAATCTGAATTTAAGATAATGTTTAAATGCAGCAGTCTCGTCATCTGATACATTTTCAGTTTGCTAGCTTAAGATGCATGACGTTGATAGAATAAAGACATTCAATTAATTGTTCACATGTACTGAATTTCGTGCAACGCATTTTAAGACATTTGTTTTTCATGGCTGATAGTGAATTATCTTAAAAAAGATATGTAGAAGGTAGAAAATTCACGACAAACAAAACAGTTATGGTGCAAAGAAAGAGACTACTAAAATTACATACACAGACAGGAACATGCAATCACATGGAAAAAATATTTGAGACAATTAGTAACTAACAAGTTTTCAGTTACATTGCTCTTAACAATGATGTGGGAATTTCATCACTGTTAAGAGCAATGTAACTAGTTTCAAAAACTCATGAAATCATGATTAAATTATGACTTCAAGGGCAACAATAATCACGTCTTGCATCAGAAACATGACATGGGTTTCTTAGTAGAACATAATAAACAGAAAAACTATATCCAACAACTGAAGAACTTACGCGTGCATCCCATTTGAATTAAATACAGACAATCTTGAAGAGCTGATTGATCCATATCTGACAGAAATTGTTGTTCAGTAAGCGACAGATCTAGAACCTCAGTTTATAATTTTAGAAGTTACTAAATAGTTCTGGAACTCGCTGAAAAACGTCAAAAGTAATAATCTGACAAATTATGGCTAACAGAATAAGATAAACCAGACACTTAGTGAGAACTTCCATATTTTATACAGTGAAATCAATAAGTTTGGGGAGAAAAACTCTGAAAAACAAGATAAACATGTTTTCAAAGAATTTATTGACACATAAAATTTAACAGCGAAACAATCTTCAACGTTTACACTTTATTAAAAGACACGATATCAACTGACTGAACTAAATCTTCAAAAGCCATAATTTGTTCTTCTAGCCTACATGATGAGACTTTGTCATCCTCCACCACGCAACAAATCTAAAATATTTAAAATTATGTTTTCATAAAACAATAGAAAGTTTTCATATATAAAGGACAGGACAGTGAACTACAACTAAATATTTTTTCATGAAAATTAAAAAGTACACGCAGCCTTTCAACGACTCATTTTCATTCACTCAAATGAAAACAAAACAGATCTACCAAAAATTTGTAGAACAGCTAAATCCTATCCTTTTCTAAAATTTTCACGAAATACTTATCAGCTTAAAATGATTAATAAGTCATACTTGCAGTTTTTTGATTCCATAAGCTATTGGTAAAACTTTTGATGCACCCCAAACTAAACCATCTGCTTCAATTGAACGTATACTCTTCTCAATATTCGATATTTCGATAGAGTCGTCCCAAGGTTTTACATCAAAAACAATATTAGACTTGGCAACCGTTGGTGGTTTTTTTGCCTTTTTTTCTTCATAAACCTGCAAGTTTTAATCGTACAGCTATCAGACATGGTTACTGCATAATAATGATCTCTTAATAACTGAGATCCAGTAAAACTAAAAAGAAAGTGCTAAACTAAAAATCACAAATTAATGAAAGATTTCATTACAAATTTTCCAAACAAAAATAGAATTATCTAATATTGAAGCCTTTCGTATCTTGCTTGGATAATAATTTATCGATTAAAAATAACAATATTAAGTTTTAAACTTTAAATAAACTTTGTTGTCGTGATATCTGTTTTCACAGTCATATTGCATTTTATCACGAAACTCATTTTGATCACATATTCCTTTTCTATGCAAGCCATTGAATACAAAATTCAAAGTGAATACACGAAAGGGTCAAAGCACATAATTCAGAATAAGTTTTTTCACTTTTCATTTTCATTTAAAGAATAACACAAAAAATTGTACAAACCTTAAGCCGTGCAGCAGTTATACGTGCTTTCTCTTCGTCATCTTCCTCATCATCAGAACCAAACAAATCAATATCACCGTCTTCTCCTTCATTTATCTCGTTCGATGAGATTGTAACATCCTGCCACCTAAAGAAACCACAATTCAGAAAATATTTACCAATTTGTAGACGAAGATGACCAAGTCTGGTTGTTGAGATTAGCAAAAAGCTTAAAATTTCACAATTTTCATTCGCACTTGAAAGATTTCAAAAAAAGAAAAATAAGCAATGAAATTTGGCGAGTCCTTACCTAATCCTCATAAAGTCTAATATTTGAAACTTTGAGATCCACATAAATGGCGGAAAAATAAAGAAGCCATTTACTATTCTTTGTTTAATACCAGTAAATTATAACATTCCTAACTAAAACTAGGAGTTTTGCGAATGGAATGCAAGATAAAATGAAATTCAATACAATTTTCGTTCCTCATCATTGAAACTTTTTATATTCCGATACCAGCGAGAAATGTTTGTGAATTTTCTCGATGGCATTGACTGAAGTGAACTAAGTAGTTGCAAATCATCCTTCGAAGGAACATAACTGAAAAAGTGAAAATTATTGAAGTAAAGGTATTTCCAGCTTTAAAAATTAAAATGACAAGAAAAATACAACTACCCTGATGCATACGCAAAATCCTTTAAATGCTCATCGAAGGCTAGCAATCCAGCAGTATTCTTCAAATCAAACATAGCTATAAAAATCGAAAACCAAATTTACCTGGAAAAAAACTAATCAGAAACATTTCGTACCTCTAAATGTTAGTAATACTCACTGGTTGGAGAGATTTTGAGAAAAATAAGAGCAAAATAATAAATATCAATCAGTGAATGAGTAGTATAAAGTTGCAAAATAGTACTTCTGAATCTTTGTCATTGAAAAAAAAAAATTACGTCTGGATGTTCAGGGCTTAACTCAATTATAAAAATGAAAATTAACTATTCAAATAAAAGAATATTTGAAAAAAAAAACTGTTTTCGAGATGAATTTGAACTAGAACGGTTTCAAAGAGCATCAAAACTTTACCATACATCTTATAATCAGCCTGCTAAGTAAGCACGCACATAATCAGAAGCTAGCCGAATATTTTCTTATGGTGGGAGTATCAAACCATGCAATTTTGTTAAATGAAGTGAAATTTCAAATGAAACTGACTGGAATTATATTGACAACCAAACTTCCACTCAAGAAAACAAATACGATGATTACGAAGGATAAACATCAGAAAGTTAGACTCAAATAAGGCACCTGATTTATCACAATAAATAAATCGCTGTATTTATGGAACTTGTCAAATGAAAAAAGCAGATGATAGAATAAAAATGGTCAGTAAGGGAAGACAAGACTAAACTTGCGGGGAAAGTTCGACAAGAATCAGACCTGCGATAAAGATCTGCAGAACCTGCAGAAACGTAAACAAGAATTGAAATTTCCTTTAGGCACATGTAGTGGCAATTCTTCTCGATATTGCTCTTGTTATTGCAGCGGTTTTACTGGCTTGCCGGGATTTGCATTGAAACGTGCTCAATAAATTTGCTGCGTGCAAATTAATTTATTGCACATATATGTAGAATTTTGTATTGCAGGATGAAAGTATGTAAGTGATGCATGATTGAAATACAGGGAATTTCGGTCTGGACTGTCAAAGTGAAGGGAGGTTTTTCTTGCCTTCAATGAGATTGCAGGAATGGAGGAGGAAATCGGGTACTGGAAACAAAATTTATATTTGCTTCAGGAGGCTGCTCCTCGTCCGTTCTCTGTAAAATGTTCTTTTCCACCCAGATCTATACCTCATCAGGTTATTTTGAATTTGTTAAAAAACGTTGTGTTTGAAACTTTTCATGTCATAGCAAATCTCTGAGCTCCGTTTTTTGTACTTATCTAATATTTTTAGTTGACTTCCTAGCCATTGTTATTGACTCTATGATTCACAATCATGTTGTAGTGCTCATGAAATCAGAAATATTTTACGTACGCACTCCATAAAATTACATTAATTTATAGTTGGCCTCGAGTGTTTGGGCTGCATTGCATTAATTAAATCGTTTTATAGTTTTAACTTAGTATATCACTAATCTCAAAATTATATTTAAATAATACCGATCTCTCATTCTAAACCAAATTTCCTTTATTCTGCTTTGGTATCTTGATCCTTTGGGAATCGGTTACCATACTGACTTTTTTCTGCTGTATTATTCCTTTTTTCTGAACTTCCATTTTATTCTACCCAACACTTAGTATTTTCATGATGCAGGAAGTGAGCTGTGCTTGACCTTAATGTCTAAGTTGCGGTTATGAAACACTTAGTATTGAAAATAATACAGTTTTGATATACATCTTATTTTCAACAAACATTAGTCATCACTTACTTAATCACTAACTTTCTATTTCTATTTTATCTTTGTTCCTCCGGTTTCGTTTCGGTTGAAGTTAAAATTTTAGTATGGAAATGAATTTCATGGTTTGATTGATCGAGAAGTCGCAGAAAACATGTTGCTAGAAGCTGGTGAAGGAGCTTTTCTTGTTCGTGCATCGAAGCGTTCTCCTGGTGCTAATACTTTATGCATGTTTTTTGATGGGCGTGTACTAAATTACAAGCTCTTTTATGATGGTATGCATTACGTTGGCGAGAAAAGGTAATACTGTGTTGGGTAGTTTATTTTAATCCATTGTATTACTACTTTTGTTGTGCTTTTAGTGTTTAATTATTTCATCTGCGCATTTAATCTTTTAATGTACTCTTTTAATTCTTTTACCCTATGTTCAGGTAATCTGAAAATTTGATATCCGTCTAGAACACTAAGTCGAACACTTTTTGTTGCCGAAAAAATTCTTCTAAAAACTTCATTCTTTATACTACGTAACAAATTAAGTTTGCAACCGCTGATGACTTTCGCTGTTATGATTATTTTTCAAAAAAAAGTAGTTATTGCAGACTCAAATACCGAATAAGATTCGTACTGATTTATAAAAGTCAAAAAGTGTTTGTACTAAAGATTTTGATTGAAAGTGCCGTGCATGAGGTTTTACAAAAGTAACAAGTGGGGTAAACAATATTTCAAATGAGATGAAATTTAACTAGTTTCATACTGATTTGTTTGGAAAAGAATAGTTTAGATTCGAACATTTGGAAGATTTGGTCGCAGATGGATTGATAACAATGCATATGGAAAAACATGCTAATGATTATATACAACGTATGGCTGATGAAGCAATTTATGAACAGAGTCCCTATTCTCAGTATCAAAAAGCAACCGATTGTCGGCGACAGCCGTGTGCACGATGTCATAATTTCACACCTGCTACATTCCGAATCCCGCATTATTGCGATTATTGTCGCAATTTTATGTGGGGTCTTGTTCAGCAAGTATATTTTTTCGACATGGATATGAATTACTTTTATTTTCAGTGAAATTTTAAACTTCTGTTTCTTGTACCCCAAAAAACATTTCTAAAAACTAAATAGATTATCTCTTCATGTCAAAGTTTGTAAACATCTGAAAACCATCTTTAATTCAGGTGTACCACCAAAGGCAAATGAGTTCAGCAGTATTTCAAATGAGATGAAATTTTGCAGGGTGTAAAATGTGAGGATTGCGGTTTTTGTGCTCATAAAAAATGTAGCGAAAGAACTATACATGATTGTCGGCCAGAAGCGAAATATGTGAAAAGGATGTTTGCTGTAGATATTAGTACATTATGCATGGCACATGGTGTAAAAATCCCACCTGTCGTTTCGGCTTGTATCACAGAAATTGAACGACGTGGCTTGCATGTAGAAGGAATTTACAGAGTTGGTTTTTTATCAAGTGTTTACATAAAAGTCTACTAGATCGATTGTAATTAACTGTTCAGTGACTAAGATAATAGTCCTCGTAATCAAAAACTTCTAGGCAGTTTAGAGTGATGACAAATATAATTAAAAAATCACAGAAGTTCTGAGCACCAAAATTTAGATGTAGTTTCACTGAATGGCGTCTTATTCAGGTATCTGGCTCTCATGAACAAATGGAAAGGTTACGCAGGCAATTTGATACTTTGCATAAGGTTGATCTCTCAGCAGTTGAAGATATCCATACTGTAGCCGGCCTTCTAAAGCTGTATTTACGGCTTCTACCCCAACAGCTTGTACCATTTTCTGTATATCGATTCTTACTCACGGCTTATACAAATAATCGAGCTTTTCATGAACGGTCGAAAATGTGCAGGTACAATTTTCAAACTGATGAATATATATATATATATATATAGTATCGAACAGTTCGTAAGTTAATCTTCTTTTCTGTGTTCTTGATTTTCGCGTTGGATCGTTTTCTGTACTCTCCCTGCGCTCGCCCGGCACTCAGCTCTGCGAAATTCGGTATTCTGGTCAAATGCTTTTCCCATATCCTTCACGGAGCTTTTCTCTACAACCTTTATTTTTTCCCATTTGCTTTCACATATTTCTCTAAGCTCGGTTTTTTTCCGTTTATCCTTTTGCTGGTCAGACTGCAATTCAACTACTAGGTAACTTGGCCGACTGACTCGGCTCCATATGTATATATATATATGGAGTCCCATATATATATGTATAATATATATATGGAGTCCCATATATATATATACGGAGTCGAGCGACTTAATTCTGGAAAATGGAATATAAAGGATAAGAATTGCATTCTGCAGGTTGGAAAAGTAAAAAGTCTCCGTAAGAAGTGGGAGAGAGTATTCTTCCAGTGCACCAAAGCAAGTAACGACAAAATGATTACAGAATATTACGCTCACAGCACTCGTTTGTGGAATGGAGGTTCCATAGGGCAGATGTCAATGAGAGGTGCTGAAGGCAATCGATTTCTGAATAATGCTGAAAGGAGAATGCCCATTGTGCCTGAAAGGAGAATGTCCATTGTGCCAGACCTGTTTGGGATGAAGCTCGTTTGTGCAATTACTTTTCAAAACAGAAGAAGCAAGCCAATTCTGCGAACAGTAGTGTTGCATCTCACCTATACTCGTCGAAACAGTTCTTGGAGAGTCAGTAAAGCTTGTCAAGATTCATGACGCTTACTTCGACCGATGTAATACATTACTCGAATCTAAGACTTATTATCATTCATGAAGCTTATGTATATAAATTTGAGAGATTACAGAAATGAAATTAGAAGTTTTGCAGCTTTTTTTGGTGTCCACTGAAGATGGAGGATGCCAAATTTGAGCTTTTCAGAAGCATTATCTGAACTGCTTGATAATTACGATTTAGAGACAGAAGCAATCAAGAAGTTGCAAGTCACATGTGGAACGCAGGGATGGGAAAGGATGATGGTACGCGGCACAACCAACATACTGAAGAAATCGTTGCAGATACCTTCCAGAATACCTTCCCATTTGAAGCCAAATTTGGGGAGATGGTTACCTATTTGCTCAACTGGAAGACAGCGGGCATAGATGGAGCCTGTAATTTTATAACTTCTGTATTAAAGAATACATCTCCTTGCATTCAGGCCTTTCAAAATAATAAGACGGATTTGCGTGAATAGGAAGGGACAGTATACATTGTTCTGCAAAAGAACTATTTACCTAGTTTTAAAGGATTTCTCAAGCAAAGATAGCGACTTTAGGGCTATAATCTGTATGTCGAACTTTTACAAGTAAAAATGTGCAGCTCATTTCATGCAGTTGGATGTTGCCATGAGCAGGCTTATTGCAGACAATCAACTAGGAATTATTACACAAATCCAAAATGCTAAAATGCAGACACTGTTAAATGTGGCAGTATGCAGAGGGCATAGAAATCACTATAAACTACGTGTATGTCGTTAATAATAGGTTACTCAAACTGAATTAGAAGATTTAAAGGCTATAGACCACGGTATCAGGTGGTTACTAGATAAGTTCACAGTCAATCTGCATGTCTAGAGAGATTGTTCTTGTCAAGGGACAAGCTAGGACATAAGCTTCATTGCGTGAACAAAGGAGTGAGTTTATGCTTTTGCAACTCCTTAATGTACTTGCAGATACCGAGCCTGTAGTTAACAAGACGCAACGATTTTGAAGTAGGAGAACGCTTATAACACTTAACAGTTATCGTTTTCTACCGACTGACTAGATTTTGTGCGAGGAAATCGAACCGCTAAGAACCTTACAACAGCTCAGAAAGCTCTCTTCTATAGCAAAATAAGGAAACTCATCAAATAAACCTATACAAGATGCGCAGTAATAAGCTAGCTAAATAACAAATTCCCCATTGTGGTTGCGATCCGAAACATTACCCCACAAGATGAAGCACAATACTGTTACTTTCAAAAGAGAAATATGTTTGAAGCTGAGAAAAGTATGTGCTCACATTGCAGGGAACATGTGAAGACGGTGGACCATATGACAACGTGCGAGAAAATTCTGTATGATGGCACTGTGAAATGCTGCGATGTACCCATTCAAGACCCAGCTAAAAGTATGTCTGAAAGCATTCCAACACATGTGAAGCCATTGAGATCGCGAGACCTCTCTTCGCGATCGTGAATGAAAACGTGGAGGTCTGAGTCGATACGCGCATTAAAGCTTGTCTCAAGATGTGCAGGCCGACCAATGTCATTCATGAAAAGAAGCGACACGAAGTGCTCCTGATAGACGTTAGCATCACTAGTCAAGACAGGTTGATAGCAGTCGAGATCGAGAAGAATCAAAGGTATGATCTGTCTAATGAACTCGGGTCAGAGTTACCATGCAGAACAAAATTAATTTTGTTGATGTCCAGAGAGTTAAACTCCTGTAAAGGTTGCGAGTACGAGATCAGTATATCCGATTACGGTGAGGCATATATCTAAACGATAGTGCTCATGAAAACGCTTGAAAGTATTTATTCGATCATTGCCGCGTATTTTACAAGGATGAAGCAACGAAGATCAACGCAACAGATCTGAATCAACTAAACGGAGTGCCGGATTGCTATCCTGCGCAGGAATCATTAAAGCGGAGAGGAAGATTAACTCCATGTGGTACTAACTTTATATATGTGTATATATGTACGGGAGTTACAGAAAGGCTCTGAAAGAACTTAATGAAGCCAATGGTCGGACGTTGTTAGCAATATTGATGCATATGCAAACAGTGGCTTGTAATTGCACGGACAATAAAATGAGTATCGAAAACTTAGCTACCATTTTTTCTCCCACATTGTTCTGCACAGGATCTGTTCCAGCACTACCACAACAGCAACACCAACTCCTTCACTTTCTTATTCAAAATCCTAGAATTGTTCCTTTTTCATTGTCATAAATATATGTCCGCACCTATTCTGCTTCTGGCTTCCACACTTGTTTTGCATATAAAATTTTAAAGCACTTTTGTTTCATGCACACTGTTTTTTTCTTCGTTCTCTTTCAGCTACTAATATCTTAGGAGGAAAAACCTCAATGTATCGGAATCAAACCAATATTTTGAAAAAAAAAGCTATGCATTGTTTTTGAAGGTATATCTCATTTTCTTCCATACTACATTATGAGTGTTCGTTGTCAAATTTGCATATTGTCATTGAGGAGAAGTTAGAAATAGTATTGATTTAACAAATGTTTATGTGGCTTATCCCTTGTCTCTTTCAAAGTCTTAAATGATTCTAATTCTTCGATATCTTCTGACCATTGGTCTTCTGCATTTTATTTGCAAAAGTGCTGCACATTAATTAGTATTGAACTTACTGCTATTAATAGTATGTCGGATAAATAGCTGTTCTTCTCCTAAACGTCTAAGTTTTTCTGATCTCTCTGCTACGTTTTTTGCTCTCTAATAATCTTTTTATTTTAGTGTTTTTCTAATTTGGTGGTTTGAAAATTCGCGTTCTGTTTCCCCCAAATTTATTTGATTTCGTTCAAGGCTATCATAGTAATTCATCTACTCTTATGTTCTCTTTTAATAAAAAAATTTGTAATAGTCATCTGGGAAATTTTTATAGGCTGGAATTTTTTCGTTTTCTAAAAATTTTGCAGCGGATTTTTTTTTTGGGTCACAAAACACTTATGTAAATTCCTGAAATCTGAAACTCAAAATGAATTCCTGAATAGCCCGTATATGAATTATATTTTTTCTTACCTGTTTGCTCTCACACTCAGTAAAATCAAACGAAGCCCGCTGTAGCACTTGAGCAGAATAATTTCCTTGCATTAAAATATACTAATGCGGAAAATTCCCTCAATATTTTTTGCTGTGATGACCCATAGGTGTTTGATGATTTGCTCATTTTAAATTTTAACATCTTGTTTGTCTTTTCACCTTCGTTGTAAAAACAGTACTCAGACATGGAATAAAAAAGTAAAAGAGCTCTTTTTTGTTTTGTTCACAGAGAACGGTAGTTTCTTCTGCATATTCTACATTCTTATCGTTTGGTTTTTCAGCAGCTTATGCATTGAACTGTCCTGGATCAAAAATATTGCTATTTGGTAATATAAAAACTTACTCTTAAATGTTGGTCAGATGAAATTTTCATTGATATCAAATTTAACTGAGCAAAAAGCTGGAGTACGATAAGGTAGACATTTGGTGACTAGTTACTTTACGTTACAGAAACGGATCAACCAATTTGTCGGAAGCATTCACAAATACACTTTTTGATTGAGAAAAGACTTCAAGGGCAGCAATGCCATTCTCCCGCCCGAAACCTGACTGTTTCATACCACCGAAAGGTATCATTGGATCTGGAAAGCATATTCAGGAGTTATTATTATGCGCTAGAAGGAAACTCAAAAAATTGAGGAGAGAAACTTTAGAAGAACATACCAATTACCTTCGTTTCATTACGACTAACTTTCTTTTTTCATATAATGAATCAGGATCAAAATAAACCTGGATGACTTTTAAATTACGAATCAGCCGTCCTACTTTTCATCAATGTGATTACTGATGTGAAAATGGACAAAATTTAATTCGGATCAACTCACAAATATTACAAACAAAGTCATGAAAAATGGAACTCAAAATCCAGAAGCTCACTTGTATCGTTAAATGTATTGATGTAAACATTGCCAGCTTGCAGCTTTGATGCAATTGAATAAGCCAAATGCAGATTTCTGCAACAGTTTATGATTAAAATATTCAAGTTAGACATCTTTGATATTGTCACTCATCGAGAAAAAAATGTGAATGTGAACCTTGTGAAAAGACCAGCAGCAAGCCCATATTGGGTATCGTTCGCCATTCGAATCGCATCCTGTAATTCATCTAAATAGATTTCAAGACAAGCATAATCTTTAAGGAATGCTTTTTATTTACAACAGTACACTTCAGTCATCGATGACATCTTTAGTCGGAAAACACGTTCCTCATAAAATTGTCATCTTTTATGTCTTTCAACAAAACGGATGCCTCATTTTCCTCGAAGGGAATGATTAACATGGCGGCCCCAAACACTTCTTCTTTATAAATTCGCATTTGTTGGTTGACACAATCCAAAATAGCTGGTGATAAGTAATAACCGTTTTCAAGACCTTTGACTGTTACCCTGTCTCCACCACACAGTAAAGTGGCACCCTAAAATTTAGAATACGTCTATTGAATTTCAAATAAAGAACATCCCATGACTCATTTTTAGCTTCCTTCGGACTTTTTGCACTAATAAAGTGGCATGATTTGGCTTCATCATTTCTACTTTAATATACGGGGCACAGAATAAATATAGTCAGAAATGAAGCAACCTGCTGTACGGCTTCGTCAATGTAATATTTAACTTTCATTAGATGTTCGGGAGAAATTGTTGCGCCAATTTTCGTTTCCTTCAATAACGGATCACCAATCACCAAACGCTTAGCTCGCTCCACTACTTTCCGTCGAAATTTGTCGTAACATGATATATGTACCAGAATTTTTGATGCATTTGAACATACTTCACCTTGGCTACGAAGAAATATTGGTGCAACGCATTCATTCTATTTTCAAAGCCATGAATTTTGCAAATGAATAATACGATGTTCCAAGTAGCATGACAGTGTCAATGCAAATTAACCAAAAGAAGTGACTTAATTGAAAAGTTAGTTCTACAAGGATAAGTGAGATCATTCCAAATTTTCGGCTACAACGAAAGTAAATCAAAGTAAACCATTCTCTTCATTCACATAAATTTAATCAATTAACCGCAGATAAATAAAATAAGTTAACCAAAAGAAATTGGCCATGAAAGCACCAGTAACCGCCATATCAATGTCAGCATCTTCGCAAATGATCATCGCACTTTTTCCACCCAATTCTAGAGTTGCTGGCTTGATCTTACCTAATAAACTACATGACCTGAGTATCGCACATCCCGTTTCAGAGCTACCCGTAAATGTCACCTTACTGATGCCACTATGCTCGCATATTGCTTGACCTGTCTCACCATCACCCTGAAAATGATTGTAGTCAAAGATAGAGCAAGAAATGGATAAAATTAGCATAAATAATATAATTTAGATAGTTATGGGAAACTGCTCCAGCAATGCGCCTATGGATAATTTGGAAGATACGAAACTGTATCTTTTGAAACTCATCAGAGGTAAATGCAAGGGTAGTTAACTGAATAAGCAGAGCCATTAAAAATTTAATTATCAATTCCAAAGAAACTTGAGTGAAGACATAATTTCCACATCTTGCAAACAAATGAATACCGGACGATTTTTATCACATCTAACATAAATGATAGATTTAAAAAATTCAGCATATTTAAGATATCTGAAAATCCAAACTCTTATTTAAAACACAATGAAAATGGATTACCAATTATTTTCATATACATCATCTGTAGCTCTTCAAAACCAAAAACCAAAAGATGTACGAAATATTTTACTATAATTTCATTCAGTTTTTTGTTAATGTCATACAGTACCTGTAAGACAGATAACACACCATCTGGAAGACCAGCTGCTTGAAGTATTTGTGCTAAAAGTACAGACGTGATAGGAGCAAGGGGTGATGGCTTATACACAACAACATTACCACACATCAAAGCAGGTGCGATTTTCCATGATGCTGTTTGCACTGGATAATTCCAAACACCGATTGCACCAATGGTTCCCCAAGGTAGACGCTCTGTATATGCATACCGGTCTCCACCAAGTGAGAAATGATTACCTGAAATAGAAACGATATTACTGAAGTTTATCAGGCAAAAATTATGAAAAATGGTCCGGAGGAAAAAAAAATTATGTCTTTTAAAGTCTATTTTCTTACTGTCAGCACTTATTTAGTGAATTATCGACTTTGCAAAAGCACTTGATAAAATTTTAAACTTTCTTACCGGCAATATTATGCGCAGTGCCAGCGAAAAATTCAAAAGTATTCGCAGAACAAGTTATATCCCATCGTGATTCTTCAATCGGTTTACCACAATCAACCGTTTCCCAATAGGCTAACTGGTCGCCAAAACTCTGAAACTAAGAGTACTTAAAGAACTACTGCACGTGGACAATGTCAAAAAATTCGCATGTCGAAATTGATTAATTGAGGAAGACCCTATCAAGATAAAGCAAACATATCTACTTCATTCAGGAAAAACAGACATTTTAGCATGTAATAAAAAACAGATTCTGTGAATGCAAATACGATAAAAAAAGTTTGAGAGTTCAATATTTGGTTTAAGGATGAAACATTGCAATATATATGTTAGGAATTCCACTTCTTAGCCAATAGCTTTCCACAATTTCGGATCAAAGACTAAAAATTTCACCCGAATAATGGAAGCTGCTTTCCTCAAAATTACTCCACGCTTCTGAGCATTGAAATTTGACCAGGACTGCAGTACCTCATGACTATCTTTCACCACTTCATCCACCAATTCATTGCTCGCACAAGAACATCTCGTTAATATTTCACCTGTAACCTTTCAATTTTGCAAATTAAAACTAATCAAAATCATTTAGATACTATTATCTTCTCCCACATTTGAATAGTTTTTACACTTCTATAAATAAACCACAAATAATAAAGATAAAACTTTATAACCAGCAATAATATATACTAGATTTTTTGTAAATAAGTACTAAACACAGTCACTTATTCGTGAGGAGTAGACATCCATCTATTTATTTTGAAACACAATAGTCATATTAAAAACAAATACTATAATAAGATGAGTAAGAACTGACTAATGAAAGTTATTCCATAAATGCAAATAAAAATATACACAAATCAGGATATAGTAAAAAACTGAATAGAAGTATAGATATATAAATTAACGAACCATTTCTTGGTTGATAAACATTGAAGAATCTGCTAGCTTTTGGTATTACACGAGCCCCACGCACAAAATGCAATGCGCTATCAATAGTTTTCGGGATAGTAAACTTCCCCTTCGACATGCAAATTTTGGAAAAATGACGTACCAGATATTTAGAACGAATTAATATCGCCGGATGTGAGCCCGGTGCACCCTGTGGTATCACAGAAGATCGTATTCGATAGTACTTCGCCCAATACGGTAGAATTTTACCGTCGATACCTTTAAAATTCAATTTATGAGGCATACAGAAATCCATAATGCCCAATGCTTCATACGATCTTATTATCAGTTGACAGCAATAATAGGCTTCATAACCCGCAGAATCCCTCATCTCTGGTGAGAAAACATCGTTATATCTGGTACCAATTTTGGATACAGCCCACTGGTATGCACGGATACGGACATCTGGTGGTAATCGATCAACCCGAAAGATTTCGAGACTATCGGGTTTCATCACGTTAATCACATCAGGCAGAAATTCCCGGCACACACCTAGTTCCGGTACTGCATGAAGTATACCCAACTTATTAGGAGCAATTATGTAAATGAATGCGACGTGTATAACTGATTCTGCGCCGACAGTAGCGATTGCTTCCATGAACTCACTATTATTATCACTACTACCATCCTTTTTAAAAAACAAAATGTCTCCGGTAGCGATGTCCAGTTCTTCAAAGAACATTGAAGGATAGATGCACCTAAGTAGGTGTTTGACCCGCGACAAGTTTTTCCCTCAATACACACTGACCATAATTGGTTCGTCATTGATTTAACTCATGCAACCATTTATGAAAAAAAAGAGCATCATACCACTTTATCAAAAGCAGTTTAAGCTTTCTTCAAAAACAAAAACTATGGAGCAAAGAAAATTTATAAATAGAATAATAACAGCGTTACGCAAGCCAGACATGGTTTCAGAAAATAGTTATAATGTCATGACATGATAAGCCCTTCAGTCACTATATACAACTCGACCATAACAAATGGAATCAAGAACAAAAGTCGACATCAAGAAAATCATACGCTAAAATTATTTACTGACGTGCACAACCATAACAATCACCCCATATACAGAACATGGGAATGCAAATGAGTTCCAGGAGATGCATTTCTCTAAAATATATACCAACTAGGAAAGTTTAACGAGAAAAGAAATTATGACTATCTAGAAAATTACTTTTTGAATGAATTTTATAAGCAGTGAATTCTATAATCGAAGTTATCAGCAAGAATATATGCCACTAAGAACCTGAATACTTCAGAAAAATCACAAACTTTACTCTTAAAACAGCTTCTAATTTGTTTGTTTCGATGCATTAAAAAAATTACGAATAATTTATATGAAAGAAGGACATCGCAATGGTTTTAAGCATGAAAACGTAAAAACACATATTAATTACTGACGAAAAAATAATTATACATCCAACAAAAGATTCATATTTAACACATTCCATACACGATATGGCAGATGATCACTAATGACAGCGCTCGATAATTTGATTTCCCTTAATGAGCTGCAAAAAGGATGATAGCAAAAGTGATTACAGGCTACTTCCTAATCATCATTTTGGATTAATACAAGATAAATATGGAAAAATATATGATTTAAAACTACGAACTCAGTAAAATGATTTAAAAAATTGAATTGGACAAAGGCACCTCAGTAAATTACAGAAAATCGCATGCTGCTAATGTATTAATGACATAAAATTATAAATCAATGAAACTAGTGAGAAGTTAAAAACAGCAAACACTCAATTAGTAGTTTCTTATTTTTATTGCTTAAAAATTCAAGAATTTTGTGATCTAACAAAAGGAAATTAAAATACCTGTAGTGAGTCCATTGTTTGCAAATTGTTTTATCTTTCTTATCAACCACCCAAACGTGCAACAAGCGACCAGGTGGGAAAAGCTAAAGATTGAATTCATGAAATTAAACAGATGATGAAAATAAATTGGTGCAATAACTTTTTTAAAGACCACTTTTCGAATGTTCATAGATAACGAGAGAACAAAAATCGTCATAATTTGTTGTCAGCAACGTGATATATACCTTTATCCTCCTTCTAGTCCAGCGTTCAGCAAGACTGTTTGCATTGCCTTGATCAATGGCATCATCCATTGTCATCATCGGATTATAGAAAACCAGTGGAAGTCGATCATTAATATTAACAACTGTGTCATCTGCATTCACTGCAAAATATGATCACTAAATAATATCATTATAATTTCAAAAGTTCCTGTTCGCACATTTCCATAAAAAATAATAGTGTTCCATGACCATTAAATATCATTTACATAATTCAAATTTAGAAGGTAACTAAAAACATATCTGCCAATCACGTAAGGAAGGTCATAATGAAATGAAAAGGAAATAGCCAAAAACAAGAGATATATCAAAATGAAAAACGAATGGCTAACTAATGACAATTACAACAAATAAAATATAAAACGTTATTTTGTGATTTTAGTTTCAAATAGATACTATCTAGCCTTAAAGTTAAAAAAATTTCAATCCACAAACAAGTGAATGAAATAGTTTAAAAATACAGTGCCACAAGCGAAATTTTTAAGTTTCAATTTTTGGTGGTAAAAATTACACAAAATGAAAAACGAACCACTACTGCTTCTTTCTGGCTGCCATGGTGAAGAAAAACAAAGTCGATATAAGCCGCGCAGTAAAATTTTGTACTTTGGTAAATTAGTCGAGGCGAGTGATCTTATTACATCATACTTTAATTTAAGCACTGTCTAAAAACTATGATTAAATGGCTTGAAGGAAATAATTATTTTCCTAAATGCTATCAGTAATTTTAGATTAATACTTTGGAATTAGAGAAATAGTGTGTATTAAAAATCGGAAAAGAAATGACCATAACAAATAGTATTAATCACTGGTAGTGAACAGTTTTAAAAATGTTAATTTAAAAAAAACATACTTAAAAATTATGCAAAATAAATAACGAATAAAATTTTTATCATTGCAACATGAAGCTTTTAGATTTCACGTATCACAAGGCTTTGAAAAAAGCTATACTAAAGTTAGGGTCAATCTATCTAAGTGTAAGCAAAAAAGATAGGAGATCTCACTTGAAACGATAAGCGTGGGACAATATCATCACCAATGTACAGACTAAATACAAATTTTTCTGTTTCCTTTACAGCATTGCTGCTGATAACACATCCTGGTGGTGAGTAAGCATAACAACGTATTGGATCAAATGTCTGTCTGAAACATTCTAGAAAACTTTGAACAACGAAGATAGATCAAAAGTCCTTCGTACAATAAGCAAAACAATCTTGAAATCTTTATGAGCCTATAATATTTACTTCAGCAATAATGTTAGCAATGCTGCAACACCTGCCCCCAATGAGTGCCCACAAACAACGATTGCATAATCCGGATGACTCATTTTTAAACTTTCTAAAATACGGTTGGCACGTAACACTTCAAGAACATATCTTGCACTACGTAACATACCACGATGCACACGCACTTCCTAAAAATTTCACATCTTTGGTTACATGAATTATTGATACAAAGTTAACTTGGTAGTCACTGCTGATCAATTAATATTACAATATCCATAAATAAAATCATATAAGCTTGCTATCTATATGAATTCATGTCCAATATTACAAAAAAATTAAATCAAGAATTAAATGCATTTCATTAACACTCTTTATTCAATACTTCATCAAAAGCGTCTAGCTTTTTATCACAGCGAAGAATAGGATCCTGATCTACATCTACTGAGAATGCTTCATCATCAAGCGATAAATCATTGATTGCGTCCATGATCGAAGCTGTTCCTCGTATTGTTATTATGATGCTCTTTGCTTCTGCATCAGTAAGTACTATGAATGGCACCTGCAAATGTGAAATACTTTACAAAATAATAACTTCAAAATCAATGTAGATTATCAAATTTCTAATAAAATTTCCTGCACATAAGTTTTTTTTTCAAGATTATAGTGAGCAGATTTACAATTACAAAGCATTAAGTAAAATTTACTTGAAAAAGATCGTTGGAGAATGACGCAAAAATGATATCACTTTCTTCACATTCAGTCATTGTAAGAAAACTAGCTGTTGCGCACATACAACAATTATCGTCTCTAATTGGGAAACTATTTCTGCAGTACAATTCTTCGAAAAGAATATTACTTTAGTTACAACTTTTATATATTTATAATCACTAGCAACATTATAATATGACCTTCGATAAAATACTGTTCTAAAAAAATTGACGGGTATAAATGATACTAGAACTGTTCAGTCTATTGAGAACAGAATGTGAAAACCACAAGTGACCTACCCTTTTCACATGATTAAAACATTGTTCATACCTTCTATTATCAAGAATCAAGGTTTTCATGAACAACCAGCGCTGCTTAGAACATAAAACATCAAACACATGACAAAATCCAAACCTTCTGCTACATTTTGCACAACATTTCATCTTCCGACACAGCCGCAAAGAACCCCAACAACGACAATTATAAAACATATAAATTTCCCAACCATATATTGCTGCTACATATTTTGCCATATGACGAGCATTGTCCAATGTCATCCAATCTGGAGGCTGCACAACTTGTTAATGATTTAGTTTGGATTATCACAAATTACACACCATATAATAACTATATTTTGACATTAACTATAACAATGGCATCTAATTACTGGAACGGTCATCTAAAAAATTAAAGTTATCAATCAACCACATAGCATTTGGCGAAATAACCTTCAAACAACAATAAAATGCAAAAACCTTGCACATCAAAAAAATCTCTCAAAATTTAATCAGTTATAATAATTTAAAAACTCCTATATTTATTAAAAGCAAAATAGACCAATTTTTCGCTACATCTTTGACAATAAGTATTAAGTACTTGAAAAAAACTTGTAATGTGTGAAAAATAATGCTAGTTAAGCATAAATTTCTACGATAAATTTCTACGATACCTTGTTCATTTCTTTTAATATTATTCTATAAAGTAAATAATAATCTTACTAAATCTAAGGATCACCTGAGATTCAAAAAATTATAATTTAAAAAGGATAAAGAACAAATTATCAACAAATCAAGTTGCAGTACCTAACTAAAATGTAAAATTATTTCTATCAGAGGAATAATGAGAATAAAATTACTTCGCTATCTGGAATGTAAGTGACTGAAGACGGTGGCTGATATGGTGCATGAGCAAGTAACAAAAGTCCAGCCAAAATGTCAGATGCAACTAAATCTACATCGGCAAAAAATGATGTTGTAAGAATTGCAATATCATCTAATGCTGAACGCATTGCTTCGTCTCTTCCTAGGGAAAACTGAAAATTTACAATAACCCATACCAAATTTATTTCATACTTCAAAAAGAAAATTTTCGAAAGATAAATAGCAAAATGATAATAAGTATCATGAGTGACCAATTTAAAACGCATAGTCCAAACTTGACTTTCACTTCGGAAGCTTGGTTTTATGCGGTTGTCACCAGATGGATTGAACGCAACTGCAATACTGATTAACACAGTTATTATTAAAGCCCATTGCAGTACAACTGTGAGACGGATAACAATGACGAGGTTACATGAAGTTGAACTAGCTGAAAAAATTTGTATGACACAGAAAAGCAATCCAAAAATGGGACCTACAAACTTTGAAAATCTGTGAAGTTATATTGAAGTGACACATTTTTTCAGAATGTTAGATAGATTAATAAGTGTAATGATTATTTTGTCTATTTTATTATCATAAAGTAGACGTTATTCGAAATTAAAAACTGCGCAGTCCCAAATTTCAATAAAACATACATTTTATTCAAAAGATTGTCTTTGTTTTTAAAAATTACTTCAAACTTAATTTCGAATTTGTTTTGCTGCTGAGTAAGAATTAATATTTCATATTTTAAAAAACTTGCAAATAATATGTGATTAATGAAATTTTAAACTTGACAATACTGAGCAATTTAGGAACGTTTAATGAAAAATAAAAAAAAAACCGGAAGTAGTAAAGTACTGATACTTTATTAATTACACAACTCTTACTGAAAGCGAAAGATGTCGAAGTACCAGTAATAATCATCTCGCAGAGAAACAGAGGTAAACGCAAATATAAAACTTTGGTGACAAAATTTCGTTTATGTGGTTCTAAAATAGATCCGCGAGCACTAACTAATGTCAGTATGAAACAAATCAAAATCGTAACGCTGTTTATGCCAATCATTGAATAAAGACAAATTAAGAACTGATAATCGGTGCAACTTTTCCATGCTTTCAGCATAAATATCACGCATGTCGTTAAAATCCTGAAATTATCAATATTCCAGCGTTTCAGTGAAACAGTTTTCAGTTCACAAATTCATAAATCAGTGGTCACTGTCAATAAAGTTTGAGACGAATTTTATGATGTAGAACGAATATACAAACGCTAGCCGAATTGAAAACTTATAGCTCGCAACTAGGATAGAAATATATTTACAAATTATGAATAATTACAAGGCAGCAGTTAATGCTTTCAACAAAATAAATCATTTAAACAAATCACAAGTAAAATGTTGAAATATTTATTCTAAATGTCTTATATTGAGAATATCGTGCAAAATTATGAGGATTTAACGTTAATTTTCCTTTCGCACATTATTTTAAATTTTGACCTATTGTTTTATTTTTCAGCCACCGTAAATTGAAAAAAAATTATAAAAACCTTATTTAGAAAGTTCAACATTTTTCCCTCCCACACAACAATAAGAATTTGAAAATTCTAGTGGAAAGATAAAAGAGTTATGAACTGACCAAGCTAATCGTACTAGTACTTCGGACAATGATGGAAAAACGAAGTCATCACTTGCAATATTCCAACGTCGTCCAAACACAACCAACGACGGCATTTGCGATTTCTGTCAGGTAATATTTACAAAACGATGTATGCCATCTACGCAATGATTTCCAATTGCAGACAGATCTAACGAATTAAAACAATTTACATAACGATTTCAGCAGAACTTGCCTTTGCAAGCAAAATTCTTCCATTTTTTTGAGATAACAAAAACAAACAAAAAGTAAGAAAACTTATTCATAATACAGTACATGCATGATACACTGATGTTCTAAAAACCTTGAAATGTCTTTGCACAGTGTAAAGACTTGAAAATTATAAATCATATGCCTGCTCTCTCATGCAAGGGACAATAACGATGCATCGGATCAGCTGAAAAGTTGTAAAACACTTTCCACAAATCTATAACACAAAAACCTGAAGCGAGACAACAAAAAATGTACTTATTACTAACAGGAAACGAAGACAAATAAACAATCAACAAGAGAATGGGAAGCGAATAGTTGCAATTACTAGTAAACAGTGCTTGGAAAAATAATAAATATGCGAGCACAAGCGATATCTATCAACAACGAAATACAAATGAGAAAACATTGACAAATGAGTAAGCCTCGCTTTAGTCAGATATAAAAATCTTACCTTCAAAAATATAAACCAATGCCCGCATAACAGTGACCTTTACTTTGCATGGGTTCCTTTGTTCCAGTTACTTAAAATCTACACAAAATACTATGAGGAGATTTTTCTGGAGAAAACCTCTCATACTTAAATCTAATAAATATGATCCCTTTGCATTGATCAATATCACGTACAGAACGTCATCACTGACTTGAAATCAAAAAACAGAAGTGACTTCAAGTGAAACTCTTATTACAGCTTGCAACTCTTTTTGCATGCACAATGAATGGATTACAAAAGTAGAGTTTGATATGGGAAACTACTAATAGTTTAATCATATTTGCTTTTATTTATGATCTTCAGACTTAAGCAGATTAATTAAGTTGTTAACAATTCCATTACTTATCTTTACTCTGACAAAATGTGAAAGCAAAAAGTTCGCCAACCAAATCACTATTTCTTACTTGTTGCGAAAGTTCCCTCCACTTTACTCGGAACAGCTGATAAGTTCCAAAAAGCTCTTGTTGCATAAAGTTCGTTCAACAATACTGCTGAATAATTAAATCGATCACCACTTACGCTTAGCTTCTGATTGGATAATTTCTAATAGCCAGTTAGTACCATATTCATAAATTTGTGAATTTTAAAATTTCGGCCAGCCGTGAATTACGTCACACTTTTGTAGACATCTGGGATCACTATAGATGGCGCTTTTAAGACAGTATGGCTTACTTTTTGCGTTCTTGTCTCAAATTGAGGTTTGCAAGTGTGGCGGATGAGTGTTTTTTGGTGTTTAGTTTCGCATGTGTTCTGATTAAAAAGATCTTTGTGCGTGGAAGAATATTTCGACGTGATGTTGTTCCTTGGAATTGATTTTTGATGCAAGGATTGGTAAGATTATGAGATTGCAGACACGATTTATTCATGGGAGCGTATTTAAGTAAACCGGTGACCGAAAAAATATCGGAATGTGGTGAAAATGAAAGAGTTCGTTATGGAGCGACAAGTATGCAAGGGTGGCGCATTAATCAAGAGGTTTATGTGGCAACTTGCAATTCTTTTATTCACTCCTGTCTGATTGTGCTCTTTCTCATTTAATTAAACAATTTTAGCAGTATTTTCTTTTCTCAAGATTTGGGAGGTTTGGTTACTTTCAGACTGTACTTTTGATAGTCAGCTAGGTCTGCAAGAATAAGTGCCACTGCAGTTGTTAAGCAAATTTTTAACTTATGTTTGACAGAGTTAACGACTTGTGTAGAAAGTGAACTCTGCATATCTTCCGCAGTTTCAAGATAAAATTTGATATGTGGAATGGAAATTTAAATTTTGAAGATGTTTTAGGATGCACATAATTGCATTGTAAATTATGACGACGATTGCTCTTTCTTTGCCGTATACGATGGTCATGGAGGTAAATCTATATACATTTTATTTACCGCACAATGTGCTTGTTATATATATCAATACATTTTGGAAATTCCTCGCTTCATACTACTGCACTAGAATTATAAGTACATTAAGCTTATTATAGGTTGTGAGGTGGCCAGATATGCTGCGAATCATTTACCATATATGTTAAAGTCGAGTAACTGCTGGTATTCTCAGAATTATACGAAGGCTATACAAGATACTTTTCTGCAGTTGGATGAATTGTTAAGGTAACATGATTTTTCGAACTTTTTCAAAATGTTTTCTTAAGGCATATCATTCAACCATTTTCCGATTTCACAGTTTTTGAAAGCAGAGGTCATTTTATGGTATCTAGATCCGATGCAGTTTTAAGAGAGCTGAAGAAATTAAGAGGTTCTGTAGAACGTAAATGTCCTGATTCAAGCGACGATGATGATGATAAGGTTGTGTTTTAGTGTACTTTGATTAGATTTTTTACTTAATATATGATACTCGGTTATTTTTTTCGAAGTATTTCGTAATATAGCAAGCATTATACGAAGAAGCTGGGATGCCCATTGAAGCAATTCTTAAAAGATACGGAATTCTCTTTCAACCTGGTCATAATGGGAAAGAAGCGGTTATCAATTTCGGAGAATTACGAGAGCAAATTGAGCAAGACAATGAAGAGATGCCTGAGGTGACAAATTATCTTCGCATTATTGAACTCATTCACTAATAAAGTAATGATTATTCCTTTGTATTATCGTTTTTTAGATTTAACATAAACTTTAATTTATTGTTCAGTAGTAGTTGCATAATTGGACGTGCTCTAAAATACAAATGAGCTAGGTAGACCAAAATTCATGTTAAATATTACAATTTTATTAGATATCGGACGAAGATGAAAATGAAGTTGAAGAAAATGGATCAAGTGAAGGAGAGAAAGAAATAATTGAAGAAGGTCTCAATGGTGATCTGATGGTTCTAGAAGAAGCAGAAGATCATGAAAAAGAACTTCTAAAACAGGCAGACGAAAGAACAGTGGAAGAAAAGCGCAAAAAACGATATTCAGAGTCCCCTCGCAGTGCAATAATAGCAAAGCGCATTAAATCAATTGGTTTCTATTCTTGCATAAAATTTTTTCTGAACAGATGCGGAAATCACTACTTCCCAAACTGTTTTAGGAATAATTCGTTCAACTCTTCTATGCTTCTGGGTTGTAATATATTTTTTGTAGCAAGAGTCTTTTGTTGCTTTTTAAAAGTCCTTTTGACGTGTGTTATTGCAGATGATATGGTATCAACAGATAGCTGTGATGATTTATCCTCAAAGACTATATTGAATGATTCTGAACTAATAACAAAAAATGAAAAGTTTGATTTTGATGTAAAATATTTCCTTTCGTTTATTTTATTCCCTTTTTGATATAAACGTTCTCTAATTCTTTCTAGCCAACCATTTTCTGTATTATTCAAACACACTGATTGATTATTGCTTTAGAACTGAATATGCTATAATGAATGAAGTAGCAGCCAGCGATTCAGAAGTTCCAGGTCCTGCGGAATTGTCTCCCACTACAGTTTCTGGCGATTATGTTGTTGAACATGAATCTCACACAGAAAAACTGCAACTTTCTGGGTAATCGATAATCGAGTTTTTAAGTCAATTGAGCTACAGTTTTTTTTAGCATACTCATGATTCTCGATCTCAGATATGCATATTCACTAATGTGATAAAAATGTTCTGAAAAAATTGCAGAACTTTTGATGGGCAAACAACATTTTCTTCCGATTCTGAGCAGTCAGTTGATGAAGATTATAACGATGCTGAATCCCCAAGAGAAAGTGAAGAGGAGGAAGAAGACAGCGATGGACTCGTAGAGAAAGTTGGTTTTCAAAAATATTTTGAGAACATATAAGGTTTCTAGTATATAGCAGTACTTGATCTAAAAAAATAGGATTTACTAATGCTTCCTTGTCCGATTTGTCAGATTATTTTCGATACCTTGCTTGTGAGAATAACATCGTTTCAGGAAGATGAATCAGAGCTTTCAAAATTCAGTGATACTCCAGGAGAAGATTCTGGTTCAACAGCGTGTATTGTCATATTATTCAAGGCACTGTTTTTGCAAGTTTGTACAAAGTGGTAGTTAAATCAATTAAATATATTTTAAAAAAATGAATTTATATCTATATAGATATGATTCATATATTCATTCCTTTATATACTCCTCTGAAAGATTTTAAAATTAACAACAAAAAAATTTACTCACACAATCTGAGCATTATATTACTTTGTGGCCGTAAAATAATTAATATATATGTAAGAAAATATAGAGAAGATTAGTCTTTTCCGCTTTATTGGTTGTGGCGCTGCATCGTATTCTGGCACTCTGGCTGAACTTGTCCTGCATTTAGATTTCCTGTGCTGATCGTTTTCGCTTCGCCTTCGTGAAATCCATAACGTTTATCGAAGATGTTTTCGAGCTTCTTCTTGAGCACTGTTGACTGAATATATGCCTCGACATGATCAATATACTGATCTGCCCGTAGCGTTTATGGAAGTTCGTTACAATCCATCACCTCAAGTCATCAGGATTATTTTGGTCCCGCATTTCATCTCTGACCCAAATTTAATAGCGAATAAATCATATTTGCGTTTTTTCTCGGTCTTGACCACTGTCGACCTCTCCTGACTAGTGATGACAATCTCTATCAGAATTATTTCATGTCGCTTCTTATCGTGTATCATAATATTCGGCTGATCTGCACTTATCATTATAACTGTTCTTACTCGCGTATCGTCTCTGATCACCAAGTGCTCATTCGCGACGATTTACTAAACAAGATGGCTCTGCATCCTGGAAATGATTTTAGACCATATTTTCAGGACCATCGCACAGCTTCATTGTGTTCTCTAGTGTGATATAACATTTTTTCGCACGTGCCAGACAGTGGACCCTTTTCACACGTTCTCTACAATGCATACACACCTGTCTTTCTCAGCCCCAAACATATTTCTGTCTTGGAGATTACAGTGTAGTGCTTCATTTTGCAAGGTAATGTTTCCGTGTCGCAACCATATTGATGAGTCAGCTATGGGTGACAATTTGTAGTTTCTCATGGTGAGTTATCTTTATTTTGTTACACAAGCTGCCTATTGTGCTGCGGATACATTTTCGACAGTAGGACTCTGTGCCTAGTTTTTGTATAGAGCACAATAATTGCTAAGCACGTATTATGAGCTTCCTCCTGCTAGATATCGAACGGTATTTACAAGATCACTGTGAAGTTGGCGAAGCATAAGCTCGCTTCTTTGCTCAACACCATGTAGTCCACATTCTAGATCATCCCTTGGCAGATACAGTCTTCCTAAGCATGCAAGTTGATTATGAATTCCTTCTTTATTTAGTAATTCAAGAAACTTCTCTATTTCTTCGGCCATAAATTTCATGATATCCATGATAGATGATCATATACGAACAATAAATGAGATCATATACGAACAATAAATGGTTTGTTAAGCATTCATGATCAGTTGGAACCGTTACTATTGGATTCCTCATATTGAACCGGCGGCTTGATAACTCCATGTACAGCATGAATAGCAGCAGAGAAAGGCTGTCACTTTGGAAAATTCTTCGTGATGTTTTCTTTTTCCTTATTCTTTATTATAAGTGCTTGTCTTGTTAAGCATGTTAGTGCACTTAATCAAGTATTCGTGATTATCTGCATCGCGTTTTTAATGTCATAACACGTTGTACACCTGTGTTCTTTGCAAACCGCTGGGTTCAACATTGCTTGTTCCTTCGCACCTCAAACCAGAGTAACAGTTCCTAATTATTTGTCTGCAAGTAGCTTTCTCATGGCAGCATCCAACTGCGTGATTCGTGCCACACATTGTGACACATATTTCGTTGTCAACTGATAAAGATTCTACATACAATTTATTGGCCTAAAGTCGCTGCGTTTATTTGGGACACGTTTTGGAATCAAGTAGGTAGTATCTTTAATAAAACAGTTGGGCCTGTCTTTTTCCATTCAGACAAATCCTTCTTACTCTTTTGTACAGATCTGGATGCGAGGAACTGCATTTCTTAATAAAGAGGTTATAGATTCCATCAGGCCTTGCAGCATTCCAATTAGGCAAATAGGAAACTATACTCCCAAATTCGGCTTCAGAGGGAAAAGTATGATGCACTTCATCACCTGGAATGAATTGTTCTAGATATTCGTTGTGCTGGATATTATCAACATCTTACCATTTTTGAATTCCAGTAGTGGTCCAGAGTTTTCTGATTTCTGTTGTCCTTACATTGTGGCTAATAGGCTTTTTCCTCGGTCAAATTCTAAACAGCTCCAATCTGGCGTTTTGAATTTTAAATGCAAATCGGGTTTCATAACTTCTAATTTCACTTTCGTAAATCCTCACTTGGTCTGTATGTATGCTCAAAGATTCATGACAGTCGCGCTCATGTATATATATAATTCTTTCTGTCGCTGATTCATAAATATGGCTACGATGAAGCACGGTACTGCTATCTCCAAGATAGAAATATGTCTGAAGCTGAGAAAGATGTGCCAACATTGTAGGTAACGTGTGACGCAGTGCGAAAAAGTGAATATATCATGACTATTCTAGAAGACAAAATAAGATCCTATGTTGTATCCATTTGAGGCACTACAAGAATATGATCTAAGAGCATTTTCGAGCATGCGAGGTCATTGTTGTTCTGGAGGTCGTCAGTGAGACTACGGAGATCATAGTCGATACGCGAGTAAGAACAGCTATAAAGGTAAGTGCGGATCGACTGGATTAGAAGCGACATATAGTAATCCTAGCAGTGGTTAACATTACTAGTCAGTACAAGTTGACAGAAGTCGAGACCGAGAAAAAACGGAAATATGATCTACTGGCTATTGAAGTCTGGTCTGAGATGAAGTGTAGAACCATAATAATTCTGTATCTGATAATTTGGGATAGGATTAACTTTTATAAACGTTACGCGAAGGAGATGGGTATATCTGGGTCACATTGAAGCACATGTTCAATCGATAGTTCTCAAGAATATTCTCAAAAATGTCTCATTCCATGACTGCTATGGTTTTCACAACGATGAAGCAGAAGAGATCATTAAATAGTTGAGCGTGGGACAAGTATTTTAGCTATTTTCTAAAGAATTCATTGTTAAAAATGTAATTTGAAAACGGGTCATGCTCTGTTTGCTGAATTTTGTTGTAGGATAAAGTGATTGTTGGAAATGCGGGCGATAGTAGGGCAGTTTTGTGCCGTAATGGCCTGGCTATTGAATTGTCAGTAGATCACAAACCAGAAGATGAGACAGGTTTTCCTAATAAAGTCTTGAATTTTATTTTCACTTTCTTTGAAATTTATATGCCAGAAACTGAGTAGTACTAATCTCCATTATTAATTATTTGGTTTTTTTTTTTTTTAATTTAGAAAGGAGGCGAATTGAAGCAGCAGGAGGTGAAATCAGTAATGACGGTCGAGTTAACGGTGGTTTGAATCTGTCAAGGTTAAATGACCGAGCAAATTTTTTTATGTTTATGATAAAGTTTATAATGAGAAGTTTCAAAATTAATTAGATTTTAGTTTGGGAAACCTTTTCGAATGCTTAAATGATATTATTGCTGACAAATTTGCTTCTGAGAACGTTTGCTTTGTGACCACCTGTTTTTGTTTCGTAATCAGTGAAGGCATTGAAAAATACTGCTTCATGTCTATTGCTTCTAATTATTTCTAAATATTACAGAGCCTTAGGTGATCATTTCTACAAAAAAAATGAAGCGTTGCCTCTGAAAGAGCAAATGATCTCTGCGCTACCTGATGTAAAGCAAAATGACATCTTGTGCGACGACGAATTTGTCATTGTTGCGTGCGACGGTATTTGGTATAACTTAGAATCCTCCTATTTTCACACGAGATTTGTGGATTTTTACTCACATGAATTATTACTCCGTGGCCGAAATCTAAATATGTAGTTTTATTCTCATATCCATATTTACTGGTCTTCAGGAATTCCCTTAGTAGCCAGCAAGCTGTTGATTTCGTACGACAAAGGATAAAAAATGGTCTACATCTTAAAGAGATATGCGAACAGGTTCGCCATAATCCTTACTTTAAGAGAGAATCTAATTATGCCTTTACTTCGGTTTTTTATAACATGTTTCATTCATAAAAATTCAATGTACATTATCAGATTGGCAAAAACTTTATTAAAGGCGACTGCAAGGACAAAATTATGTACAAACATAATAGAAATTAGAGTAATAATTTGTGAGCATAGTACCTGAATGAACTTAAATTTACGTAAATAATTTGTGGATATAGTGTTTAAATAAATTAATTACTGCGATGATTAATTTAAAACACTTCTTTCTGTGATGTAGATAGCAAATTTACGGAATGGTCTGATGAAGGGACTAAAAACGACCTAAGCTACAATATTTTGTGTCTTACCCATCTGATTTTTATGCTTCATATGTGTTAAAAATTAGCTTTACGAAACTGATACAGTACTTTTATTACAATTTTATTGAAGTTAAAGGTGAATATAAAAATGTTGTTGAGGAATGGAAAATAATGAACAAGTAGATGCTTACACATCATGTTTTATTGGTTTTTGGACTGAAGGGTAATTATTTTTGCAGATATGTGATTATTGTCTATCACCAAACACTGCAGGAGATGGTACTGGTTGTGATAATATGACTGTAATTCTGGTACAAATAATACATCCTACTTAGGTCAGGTTCGCCACTATTATTTATACTATCAAATTTTCACGATTTTGGTTGTTATTACTTCTCGTGATCAGAAAATTTTGTTTTTATACCTTCTTTCTCGAAGACGTCCGTTATTTCTTCATCTTTATGCATTTTCACTAAAATATCCGAGCCTCCAATGAAATTCCCGTTCACATAGACCTAAATGAAATTTAATTGCAGTTTTCGAGTTCGGATCTTTAAATTATTTACTGAAACATGAAATAGTGAAATGCGCCATTTATTGCGAAACATATGCTATTTATGTATTTATTGTTTTCGTCATTTTTTCTAAATAAATCAAGAGAAAAAAAAATACATTGTAGCCTATTTTTATGCATTACTGATATGTATACAGCAGTTTTAATATCCTACATACTGAAATGTCGAACATCAAATGTTGTGTCGCATCAAATAATTATGTTTGTTGTAATTTGCTGATGAATAGTCAAAAAAATTACGACAATAAAATTGTTGATTCTACATTTTGATATTGTTTGCTTCGAGTACTTTTCATATGTCAGATGAAGAGATTGAGATCTCTTAGTTTTTCTACAATGCAATGAGTCAAAGCTCTCTAATTTAAAGGTATATATACCTGCGGTATTGTTGGCCAGTCACTGTATATTTTAATGCCTTCTCTTAATTCTTCGTCACTGAGTACATCGTAGTCCTTGAATCTAATGTCATGGAAATCTAGAACCTGCAAAAGTAAATTTTTAGTTGTTTGGAAGATATACATCCTGGATTGGTTAAAAAAGTTGAAGCACGTTAGACGTAAATGAATTTGCTCGAAGTATGGTAGTGTGAAGTCAAGGCAATCGCTTATTTTTTTGAGGACAAAAAGTTTATACATAAGTTTTAATATGAACTGTTGGGCTTATTCATTCGTTTTACTGGCTGATAAGAACAAATTGCTAATGCTTTCTGACTACATCTTTGCTTCAAGTATAATGGAGCAACTAAATACATCAGTTGTCTTCTTTTTTTTGTATTGCAACGAATATAGCGCCTACCAATTTCACAGTTTTGCTAAAACCACACATAGGTTCTTGCTGTGTGCCTTTCATGAAAACCACCACAGGTGCAGATGAGATCATCGACTCAATTCGTGATTTCAGCGACTCGCTCAATAACGTTGCTGATTTTGTGGAGAAACTAAGTGAACCACGCATACAAAGGACTTGATGTCCAATAATTCTTGTCCAGTGAGACATCAGCATACTTACTACAATCGACTACTCAAAAACCGAAAAAGAACTAGTTACTAAGCAAAACCTTTACCACCACAACGAACTAAAGCATATTAATCTCGTCATGCGATCACCTCTACTTCCCATATTCGAGAAACCTGATCCTTATATCGCGTTTACATCTTACAGCGTGTGAAAACGTATATGTAACCTCGTGGTGTTAAATAAAAGCCTTTAAATCTGCGATAGACAAAATAATAGAGCTTTTACAAGTTTATATTATCAACTTGAATAACTTAGAAGGCGTTTTACAAAGTCTATATATCCAACAACAGCACCTCAAAGGATCAACAGTATTCGCAAAAAAGAACCTTCAAGATTAAAAATGCACTGTATAATGCACGAATCAATGTCTGCATCAATAAAGGCAACGAAATGACTATCATCACCGAATAAAAACAGAAAGATTTAATTGCATGCTACTTTCAGAGATCTTTATAGAGTAGATATAAACTTGTAATTGTTCTAACACGATTATTTTTTGAAAAACATGAGGAAAATTATAGTCATAAAACTAATGGGCCTCTAACTTGAGGCAAATACAGCAATAAGATTATATAGAGTGACAGTAAACATGATATTACAAAAAACAGAATATTCTCGATAAAATTTCCCAACATGAGAATGTTGTAATGAAACATTGAAGAAGAAGGAATCTTATCTTGATTGAACTAATGCTAGTTAGAGAATGAATTCATTAAAACAAAAAGTATCATCAGTGTCATGTATCACACACAGTCGACTTAATCATATCAAGATTTCAATTTTTTGTTGCTTTAAATAAAATCCAAATAAACAGCCAACAACAATATGAACTAGGAAAATATTGCAACATATGTTTTCATTTCTTACAAATAAATAGTGTGCATGACATAACTGAAGTTTCCAAAAAGAAACGGAACAAAACAAAGAGACATTATGATTTCGAACTCATCAACGACTCGATCATAGATTATGCAGCAAAAATACTGAAGATCAATCGAATATACAACATCCCCCGAAGAAAGACCTATAAAAAATAATCCGGTTGCGGTTTCTTCGCCGGAGCACCTCGATTTTCCTGTAAAAATGAATATAAAAACTGAATTATAATTGTCACTACAAAACCTCAATAAAATATTAAATCTTGAAAAAATTTAAACAAGATTTGACACAAAATTAACTCAAACAAACCTGCGGTGCTGCTTCAAATATGGTAAAATCCTTATTCAGCTGTTCATCAAGTTCCAAAATTGCAGCAACATTACCACATCTACAACAAACACTAGTCTTATAATTAACTTAAATTACAATTTTTACAGTTAAACCAAATCTAGCAACAAATTATGACAAATAAAGGGCAGATTTGCTTTGAAGAACATTTTAGACAGTCCAAAACAAAGTCCTACTTCAGAATATCAGTGATAAAACTAGCTTAATATTACCGATAGCAGTAATTAGGAGCAGACCAAACTGTTAAAACTGTTTCACCAAAATGCCATTTGTAACCTTCCATTACAAGTTGATGAGCCCGACAAATTAAATCAACGCCATTTGCTTGACAGAAAGCCTGAACTGAATTAGAATGTGTTCTTTAACTATGAATATTTGTGAAGATGTGAGGTCTAAATAATTGAAAAAATTGACTATGACAATAAATATTCGGATTAATAACAAAATTGACCTTAACAACGTCAGATCCAAATAAATAACCAGCACCCCTCGGACTAACACCCCAACCAACACTTTCTTCCGGATCTGACCACAGTAGATCGCACATAGGGCCATCATGTGGTACCTCCAAATAGTCGCAACATATTTGCTTTCATCACTATATCAAGTATATTCGTGAAAAAATTTTATTATATTTACTTCTTGTTTCCTATCAATTGTTCTAATTTGATCTAGATTTTGAATTGATGGAGACAAACCACCATGTACACAAAAGACTTTACCAGCGATGACTGCTGAAAGACTTAAACAGTCGAAGACTTCGGTACAACATCTGAAACAACAGTGTTTAGAAAATTCTGACTAAGAAAAAAGAAAAAACCCAATAAAAAGCAAGGAATAAAGATATTTTAGAGTCTAATAGAAGGTGTAATTCGATTATTTCCACTTTTTACTCGACAAGAAAAATAAAAAGAAAAATAAAAACTGTAAATTCACCGCCACACAGCAGATGATCCATACTTCCTGAGACATTCATCATAAAACCCATACACTTGTGTTATCTGTCGAGACTCATGATTACCTCTTATTAACATCATTCTATCAGGATATCGTACTTTCAACGCTAGCAATAGTAAAAATGTCTGCAAAGAGATGTGTTTTGAAATGAATTAAGATGAAATGAATCAGTAGTGCCACCATTTTGATAATTACTCATGATCAAAGATCGAAGTAACTTTATAATCTCGCATGTTAAGAAGTGGCTTAGCTTTTTTTACAAAAAAATCACGACCTCACAAAAATTAAAGTTACTTCGAATCTCAACTTTAAGAAATATAAAGTTGATAAAATAAAAAACGAAATCAAAAAACAGTAATATTAATCTAATTTAAAAAATTACAGAAGCATACTTCAACAGAGTAAAACCCGCGATCAACAAAGTCACCCAGAAAAAGATAATTGGTGTCAGGAACTTGACCACCAACTCGAAATAACTCCATCAAGTCATAAAACTGACCATGAATATCCCCACATATCTGAACTGTTTTTCATACTAATAGAATTTCCACCTTTTTTATACCACTGCGTTGACTTCGTTACATGTTTTTACTGCTATATAATTTGATACTTGGATTAGATGTGTTTTTTTTAATATTTCAATTTAATACTAATTTAAAATCTATCTCGAGCAAAGGAGAAAGTAATAAACTTGGCTATTAAATCAAAACAATGAACGCATTTAGTAAGTTATCAAATGAACTTTACCGTCACAGGTGAATCGACGACTTGAACGTTGCCTTCTTGTAATAAAATTTCACGAGCTTTAGCACATAGTGATTTTACGTCTTGCTCTGGAATACATTCACATTTCATTAGTGTCTCTATCTGCCTGAAAAAATTAACATAGAAACAATTACAGCAGTGTAAATAGTATGAGAAATTGTATTAAGGAAGTAGTTACTGTTAGTAAAAGATAAAGCTACATTCAAGAATAAATAATATAGACAAATTTATCTGTGTAGGCGAGATGAAGTCAGACATTTAGAAGCACAATTTATTTATTTAACGTATTTAATTAGCAGCAACTGTAAATTTATATCATTAAGTGAGAGCTTAAAATGACAAACTGGCCTGTCTAAATCGTTAACTGAAACCATGGTCGGCGTTGCAGATAGTACCGAAGGTAGTGTTTCATCAGCATTCATAACCATATCAAAATTTTTACCTCAAATAAGCGTAAGTCAAATAAAAGTATCGCACTTCGAAGTTGAAATGTGTAAAAATTGTCGTATTAAATTTCCGTACCTAATATAATTGAAATAACAAAATGTATCTTACAATGATAATTATTTACTATGATAAAACGACAAGTAAACAATCCACAACTTCGTCCACACTTTTTACGGAACATTAGGGTTATTTTGAGGACCAAAATACTTTCCTCAACAATAACCGCAATAAAAAACAGCTGTAACAGGTACAATACTGCATATATCAATGCTACTGTGTTATGAATATAATGTCTGAAACGGAGATCTCCTGTTACATCATTTCTGAATCTTTGGTGCTACAATACTAAGTCTCGACACCACTCACTCTTTTACCTGCATTCTAATACAAATTACTGCCTCAGAAATGCATGCATTATGAGTCAAGTTGGGACATTATGGTATTTTATGACTCGTTCCTATGAATAAATGGTCCGGCCTGTGAAAAATTGAAAGTCTTTTACTGGCTCTATTTTGAATTGAAGCTTTTCCTATTTGTTTCTTCTAGTTCATGATTCAGCTCGAGGAGTACGTTTCTTTTCACTTTATCAAACTGTTGTTGAGTACCATGTCCAAAGAATATGTTGTTAGTTGTGGGTCTGAGACTCCCTCAGACTCACTATAATTAAAGTCAGCAATGACTAATTTACTAGCAGTAGTTAGTTAGTTTTAAAAGCGGAAGAATTAATCAATGCGTATAGTATTTTGACTTATATTTTTTGCATTTTACAATTAGTTATCGGCAAGTGTACCCTACGTGTCTCTGAGCATTTTGTTCATTCCTTAATTAAATTGAAGGTGGAATTCGAATAGCTGAATTGCCATGCTTCTTTCCCATTTCTCGTTTCCGGCACGCTGTTGTGTGCTCGATAATTTCGTTAGGTCCGAAAAATAAAGCCACCAGACCAATAACTATTTATTAACGGTCGTGGCTCTAAATTGTATGCTATTGGCTTGGACGGAGCGAGGCTTAGGCTTACAGTAATCCAAACTCTTGAGGCTTTTCATTTGCTTTCGGGGCACTTTTCATTCATTCATACTGAAAATAAAGTGTAATGGCCTTTCTTCGTCGCAACTGTAGCTGTGACTACCGCTATAGTACGACACTTGTCGCTGTTGAATTTCCTCATTCTGGAAAAAGACAAAATAATGTTAGGCATATCTTACCCTTGAATTGGCACCTAGCTGAAGTAAAAGTTCAGCAATTTGTAGTAAGACACTGAAAGAGTTTTTTGTGAAAGAGACAGCTACTTAAGCAGGGAGAGAGGGTGAAAGGAGGGCCTTCCTTATTGATGAAAGCCCTCCATCAATACATTTTCACTTTGTGTGCTGAGGTCATTTTCCATTTAGAATGGCTAGGAGCAGTCAGCTTTCGTACTTACTTGTCTCCTTATCGCAGAAGTCAAGTGAGGTGAAGCGGAGTCAACTGAACTAGCACATCATCCTTCAGTAATCAGCGTGTGCGTACGTTTCTTCCTCACTGCTTCAACTTGCTTTCTATCTGGACTTTCTGCAACTTATCTTTTGCTTTTGCAATAACTAATTCATTATTGATTATTTCTACCTCTAAGGTGCATAGTTTTCATGTTTTGATTCTCAACATTGTTCAACCAAATCAAAGGTGCATTGTTCATCTTTTTACTTTCTGAAACTTTTTGCATTGATTCATTTAGCTTGTTTTTACATTATACTGACAGCTTAGAACTGTTTCGTTCGTCGCGATTGGTTATTCTATGTACTTACTGCAAGCTTTTAGGTGAGATGCTGCAGAGTGTGGTATGAGAATGCTTCGCGATCAGATATGAGCGTAGTGAGAGATTCTTGAAGCATATTCACTTGATATTTACTGACGTACTTTCTTGGTCTGATTCGAGAGATTGAGATGGCAGCTCTTTGCATTCATTGTTTATTGTGGGACTGAAGCAGTGAAATCGTACGGTTTTTCCGCTCTCTTATCAACTACATCAATGAGTACTCTGTTTTATTCGTTCATTTTCTTTCTTCCGTGTCACTGTTATTGTTGATACTTCGTTTTGTCGTATGTCACATCTTCTAATGTTACTTTGATGTTGCAGTTTGCTATAACTTTATTTCAATGTCATTATTAATGACAAACCTTTTGATCGGTTTAATAATTGTTTATTAGCCAAAACCATTCAGTGAACTGCACATTAAATTATCTTCCCACCAAAATAGTTCAAAAAAGTGCTGGTAAGCAATGCTGATAAAAGAGTACCGAATTATTTTACCTTTTACGGTGAACGAGTATCGAATCGCTCAACTTTATATGATACAGGTAATTCAGTATTTCATTTTCCAAACCTTTGTAATCAAAAATCTTCACATTCTGAAGAGCTGTTTTTTTCTTTTTTACTAATTTTATTTGATTATTATATATGTATACATAATGTTTAAAAATTGAATTTTTGTGCCTGAAAGAATCATTCAAAATGAATATTTTGTGTTTTAAATCACTCACCTTTACCATGCATCCACTCATACCTTCATCAGTATAAGGATAGAATGAATTTCTACTTAAGTTATTTGAGTGAAGCCTTGTAAAAGGTTCAGATAGAAAGCCAAATTTCATGTAATTGTTAAATAGTTAGAAATAAGCAATGACTATTGTTCTAATGTATTAATTGAAGATTTCGCAGTGCCACAAGATTGAAAATTAGTGATATTTTTTAATGATGTTTTCCAACATTGTGCAACATTTTGACTTTTTTTTTGAAATTCACACGGAAAATTACAGTTTTACTTCTAAATAAAATCTTACGTTTGAAATTCAAAATAAGTGTATCATAAAATATTATTTGGTGGAGAAAGCACCAAAATGTATAGGAAAATTAAATCGTACGTGTTTTTGTGTAGCAAACTTTATGGTATCCTTCATAATTTTGTAATGGAGTATCTTGTAAGTATAATATATATCGAATATAGATTTATACCGCACAGTGTAATGAAGCCACTTTGAAAATCAAAAGTGAATTATAAAATTTTAATGGTTTTTTTTGTTAATGTTTGTAAATTATGAATTGGTTTGTCTCTGTGTTAAAGCTGATGACAGTAGCTTCTATTATTTATTATTTAAGTAGAAATAAAAGTCTGAAATGGCTCCAAACTATGTCGTAAGTTTTTTTTTCAATCAAAATTATTGTAAGAGTTATTTTGAACTTGAAATTGGAAAATGATTAAAGTCTGATTCATTCCATTATCAAAATATTTGATATATACTTGTTATTAGTCTATAGAATTACATAGAGCCTCAAAAAATTATTATAAAGAAGGTAAAAAATCTATGTAATCAGGAATAATCGTAAATTCACCATAGTTTGTGCGGTAATGATAAAGATTAATTTAGAATCTTCAATATAGATTGTTTTTACTTCGTACCAAAAAGTTAAAAATTATGAATCGTTTTCATATGATACAAAGAAAATAAAAAAATAGAAAAAGTTTGTTTGTGCCTTAAAATTTCAGCGGAAAATATAAACAGCAAAGATCAATGAAGATTAAATGGTTAATAGTGATTATTACTTATTCATATGTAATTATAACTGTCACCGATAATGACCATCACATAAAATGGAGAAGTTAAGCATCAGCGCTGTCGCAGCTCTTTGCAGTTTTGCTTATTAACTCACAACTTTCTTAAATCGTAAAATTAAAGTAGTTACTATTCAATTCCGGAAATATTACCAAAAATATTGCTTCTGAGATTGATTTATATTGAAGAGATGGCAATTCTGGTGCGAAAGTGTTCAAAATAGTTTGATCTTTATATATTTTCTATGCTTGATTTGATAGCTTTTTGTAATTTAATGTCGTTCTTAAGTGAATCTAAAAAATAGTAAACAGTGCCGAAGTGAAAAGCATAGCAAACACATTTTTAATAATCAAGACCATTTTTCCATTTAATTCTTGCTGAAATTAGAAGGGAGGTCATTATTAAGTGTAAGCAAATTGATGACTATTTTAAGTAATTTTATGAAGGGAAAATGTGAGGTGACTAGTTTTGTAAGTAAAAGATTCTATTTTAATATTTTTCTGTGGTTCACGTTATAAGGTTGTCAGCAAGCATTTTATTTATGCCTTTTCATATTGCTTCAAGGTTTTTAAAGTGAGAAAAGCTTTGCTCGTAACTATCATGGTAATCTGTGAGTTTCAAGTTAGAAAATGACAGTATAAGGATTTTTTTACTGCATTGAATTTTTAACTTGCTGTTTTCGATTGAATCTGCCTAGCAATTCATCTTTGACAATTTTAACTGATACAATTAGTATATTTAAATTCATATAGATTTTCACTCGCTAAGTTAAAGATAATAATGATGCAGAAACTAGGTTTGATTGAAGTTGAACATGATCAGAAGTTTTGTATTCCATATTCAGTTACACTATGCAATCAGTCGCATTAGTTATAAGAAATTAATTCATAAATAGAGTTGTGATTCAAATAAGTCACAGATGGCAGGAAAATACATTTTTAAATTATAAACTGAAGCAAACAAAATGTCTAATGCATCTACTTTAGCTGAGTGATCAGATGCAGAAAACTCCTCTTTTTTATTTTCATTATTCAAGTGGCAAACTTCACCTCTTTGCTAATGTATTATGTCGTAAATAGTTATACATTTTCAGAATATTTGATAATGAAAAATGACAGAAACTCTCGAAAGTGATTGTGTGCAGAAATTAGATGATTAATTAAGTGTTATAGTTATTTTGATAATTAGCCGTTAGTGAAAGCCGTAATTTTTAGGTTTTATGTTGTAAATATTGTCAGAATATTGAATATTAATTTTCTGCTGGTGCTTTCGCTTACTGCATTTTTTGATAGATTATTGCAGAAAAAAAGTCGACAGGAAAGTTTGGGCGAAGGTAGTGGCATAGAAATCATAACTAATGAACCTTATAGTGACGGTCCAGGAGGTTCAGGTCAATATACATTCAAGATTTATCATATTGGTAAAAAAATTCCAGGTAAGGGATTTTTTCTTCATTGGTTATAATTTATGAGAATAATGCGTAATTCTCAGATGTTTACTTGTGACTTATAATTATGTTTAAATATAACAATGCTCTTATTAAATTTGACAAGTATTGCGGAATTCTTTGATTCAGCATAGCTTTCCATGTAAATTGAATCATATTATGCAGTAGTTCACCACTGTGCTCTTTGATCACTACATTAATTCAATGAATATATCGTTAAACTATCACATCTGAATAATTTATTCACCTTTTTTTCGCTTTCACGTTAATAGATGGGCAGTGCCATGTTTAATACATATTTTCTCGTCATATTGAGTCTTTATTCATTGTTTATAATAAATAAAAGTATTTGTAGCATATAAGGATTAGTAGTTCATAAAAAAAGTCTTTTTGATTAAACTGTGCGAAGCATTTTTTTTCAGAGAATAGTAAATAGTGATAAACTATTGGATAATGTTGTTTCGTTATAATTTTGTTATTACTGTCATTTGAAAAGAATTTTCATCTTACTGTCATCAGTATTGTCAATTCGATTAATCAAGCAGTTAAAGAGTGATAGTGAAGAAGAATAAAGTACACAGCAGTAAAAAAACGCAGAATAAGTTCAAAAATAATTTAATATCTTTTTCAATTATTTCTTCTAATAAAAATTCCGGGTATATTGCATATGCTAAATTCCATGCTTTTGTCATTAAATTGTTTCAGAAAATTGGCAAAGTGTAGATTGCATTTTGCTGAAAATTCAGTGTATTTCGACTTGAGTGGGATTTGTATTGTATGCTTTTAAAGGAGATGATAACAGTTTTGTTAATTAAAATATAGTGCTTGGAGATTTTTAATTTTGAATCTATGATTGTGCAAGCATTTGGACATAACTGATCAATCCACTTTCACTTATTATTTTTATTTTCTCATCAGTTTGGTTACGAAGTGTATTACCAACAAATGCATTGGAAGCCCATGAAGAAGCTTGGAATGCTTATCCTTATACCAAAACTCGTTATTCATCACCGTTTTTGGACCGTTTTAATATTGAAGTAGAAACAAAGTATTACAACGATGCAGGCATTCAGGACAATATTTTTGAACTTACTAAAGATGAACTGAAAAATCGAATTGTTGGTAAAATTTTCGGAAACTAGCATGATGTCGTTTAGCCTATTAATTTCGATAGAAACTAGCTGCAGAATTTTAATATTACTACTTGTTACAAATTTTCTGCAATAAAAATTATGTAGTTTTTTCGTTTAAACAAATTAATAAGGTACTGTATTTAGTGATACAGAAATGCTGTTAAAACCATTGTAAACAGTCTATTTTCATTAAATTCAGTCGGTTATTGATTTCCTGAACTACAGATAAAATGGATTTCGTAAACGATTCAATATCAGCGTATGATTATATACCTGAAGAAGATCCAAAATTGTATCATAGTATAAAAACTGGACGTGGGCCTTTAAAAGCGGATTGGATCGATGACTGTGTAAAAAATGGGAAACCCATCATGTGCGCTTATAAACTCTGCAAAGTTTGTTATTTTACCATAAACTGCTATGGAGTTTGTGTTAAAGTTTCAAACTCCCAGAAAATTTGGGAACCTGAAATTTCCAAATTTTTTCAAAATATAAGAAAGTAACAAAAAACAAACTTTCAACTTCAAACATAAAGATTTATTTACTTTTTAGGTTGAATTTCGATTTTGGGGTTTACAGACTCGTGCAGAACGTTGGATACATAATTATGCGTTACGTAATACAATGTTGCGCGCTCATAAGCAAGCTTGGGCTTGGCAAGATGAGTGGCATAATCTTACACTTGACGATATCAGGAAATTGGAACAAGATGTAATTCAATAATCTGTTTCGTTATTTGTAAAAAATTGAATTAAAAGGTGATGAAAAATTGAATTAAAGGGTGATGCTCGGTATGATACTCGGTATTTTCTATGTTCGGTAACTCAAAATATTCTTACACTCTTTTACTTTCAATCGAAAAAATGTGCAAAAAAGTAAAATAATATGATAAAGATAAAAAAATTAAAAATGTTTAGAATAAAATAGAGTTGGGAAACATAATTGTTAGTTTATTTTATGCTACTTTTATTTAGAGATCCAAATTTTTTAAATGAAATAGGTTGCCGAACATTTGTCGAAGGTAATGGCTCGATCATTATTGTCTGTTTCATCTTCTATTTATTTTGATTGCTTGGAAAACAGTGCTGTATCTGAAGGTTACAATTTGCCATCGTTGATTAACTGGGATTCAGACACATCACTTCATGACGGTCACGAAACACCACCTGAAACTCCTCAAGCAGAACAAAACATAAAGATGTCTGCTGTAGTACCTGGCATCTCACTGCTTGTCATTTTTCTTTACACTAATATCTTTCCTGATGTAAGTTTTTTCTTTCAACAGCAAGAGTAAATGAAAGTCTTTGCTTAATGGCGTGTCATGAGACGAAAGAAAAGTTGCATTTTTTTTAAATTTGTAAATACAATTATCGAAAATCTAGATTAGTTATTTGTAATTATTAATTTGCATACCTATTATAATTTTGCTATGCATATTTCAATCAATATTGTGTGGTGTTTTTTTTACGAATCATCCAGCAATTTATCGTTTGCATATCAAGATACTGAATTTTTTCGCAGCAAAATTGAAGAATTGCATTAATATTTCACTCATTACAGATAAACAAATAAACTAGAAATCACAAATTTTCTTATTAGTGATTAAATAGGCATCATTACAACTCATGTTTATCTGATTTTAATAGTAAGGAATTTTTTTCACTTTTGACATATATATCAGTAATTGCGAAGACGAACTCTATTTTTTGATGAATTTTTTCTCTATTTTTAATGGTGAAAGTAGTACCTTTATGTCGTTAATACAATGTCTTTTAATCTTTTTAGACTTTCGATGAAAATGTAATCGATCCTAATTCGCTACGTTTAACGATTGAAAAACAAATTGCCAATATTGATGTTGATATTAGAAGACGTGTTCATTTTTTACAAATATGTTGCGGTCAGGAATTCGCTGACATAGCTTCACGTTTAATATCTGTTTCACCATCATATGGCTTTGTTCATCCTACTTCAGCCTTACTTTTTTCGTCATCACATTACTATGAAAAGGTCTCCAGTCTCGCTTTTAATCCTTACATGATTCTTTTGATATCGATTTTCTAAAGTGATTGTAGATATACACATACTTATTTTAGAGTTTTGTTTAAGTATTACTGACTTCAGACTTTACAGTTAAGAAAAACTGTTTTATATTATATGTTCAGTAAGAAAAACTACTCTTAAAAATATTTTCACTCTTTATTATTTGCTTGTACCAAAAAAAAAAGATCAACGAAGTATTATGAGCCTGCCCTTTTTTTCAGTTCCTTGTTATGCTTGCACTGGCCTTCAAAATTAACAAGTTCAAAATTCCTGAAACCATAATACTTATTTCAGATATTTTTGCAGAAAATAGATTTTATTGGTGCATAATATAGTCATGTTTCCCATATAATTTCAGGCTCTACGAAATACATTACGGCAAATCAACGAAGCGTACAAGCAGTTTAGGCTTTCCGAT